GTGTTCCTGGGAGACTGAACACAGAGCGGGCCTGTGAGGACGGGGGGGCGGGGTCAGGAGAAGCGGCCTGCTGGGAGCTGGAGTCTTACCTGGTTGTGGTCAGGAAAGGGGATGATGGAGGCGCAGACCCCCAGGATCATGGACGGGTGGATCTCACAGTGGGTGTAGGTGGAGCAGTAGGCCACGCCCTTCTCCTGCAGGTCATCCGGGGTCATGGCGAGCATGACCGTCTCCTCCTCCAAGGTGTCGATGTACTCCACCACGCCGCTGGCCACCAGGTCCTGCCAGCTGCCGGCCACAGGAGACAGCCCCCGTTCAGAAACCGCTACGACTAGCAGCCACCTCTCAGATACCCCCAGACCCAGGCCAGACCTATCCCTAACCCAGCCCCAGACCCAGCCCCAGACCCAGCCCCAGACCCATCCCTAACCCTAACCCTAACCTAGCTCCAGACCCAGACCCAAACCCAGCCCCCGACCCATCCCTAACCCAGCCCCAACCTAGCTCCAGCCCAGACCCAGACCCAGACACAAACCCAGCCCCAGACCCATCCCTAACCCAGCCCCAACCTAGCCCCAGCCCAGATCCAGACCCAAACCCAGCCCCCGACCTATCCCTAACCCACCCCCAGCCCAGACCCAGCCATATGCCCCAGTGTTAGAATAATTGTACAAAAGTTATCATGCATTCTCTGATATATGTGTGTCTATGTAAAGGTTTAACTGTGCTTGTGTGATAGCAAGAAATTACTATCATAAGTACAAGTTGGGTTGCAGATATGAAAAGCTGACCCAGCAGTGACCCTTGTGGCTGCTGACCCAGTGGAGTGATCCTTGTGACCACAGTCCTTTTTGGCCGCGTGAAACAAAGAAACAACTGCACTTTGTTTTACTGTCAAACCAGTTGCATCCTGTGATTAAGAACAATGTATAACCAATCATGTGTGTTTCTTCTGTCTTTCGAGAAAATCAAGTCACAAGATGTGGTAGGAACCAAATAAAAGGAGAGAGCTCAGAGTAGGGTGGAGACTGTAAAGTCTCCGGTGCTCTCCTTCACTGAACTTACTGTGTCTGTCTATTTTTGTCCTCTTACAGCAGCGAATTGAGAAGTGTTTAGGGGCATAACCCTGACACCCAGCCCTAACCCAGCCCCAGCCCTAACCCAGCCCCAGCCCCAGCCCTAACCCACCCCCACAGCCAGCCCTAACCCAGCCCGGCCGTCTCACCTGTAGTTGTTGTACTCGCGCTCCTTCAGCTGGTCGATGTGGCGCCTCTTCAGCAGCAGCTTCTGTTTCTCTACGATCAGCAGCGGCCTGCAGATCCGCCCGGCGTCCGTGTAAATTCGGATCTCACGCTCTCGAATGTCCCGGATCATCGACACCTGGAACAAACACTCTGATGTCACCAACTGAGTTTAACCATATGATTACAGCAGAGGCCGAGCAGTTTTGGTGTAGCTCCATATAAGGAGCTGCTACCGGTTCACTACGGTTTCTACCCAA